GTCTTCCTGAGGAATGAGTGCTGCGGTTGACTAGTGATGTCTGCCTGGGCCAGACCTTGGACAAGGGAGCTGAACCTCATCTATTTCATCCCTCCCCAGTGGCTGGGCATTTGGGTAGGTTCCAGCATTTGGAACTAAACTCCTGCTCTGAACACGTGTAATAAATACAGGGGCAGGATAACTGCCCAGCAGAAACTTCCCAAGTCACAGATGAGGGATTTTAAAAGTTTGATAGATGTTGCTAAACAGCCCTGTGACTTAAACTTCTTAAAAATTTTTTTTCCATCTTCTCGCCAACCTAAAGCATGAAACCCAGGTGGTGAGTGGTAAGCATTTACACTGTATTAATTATGGGGTGTGCACTTGCCAAGCACAACTCGGGAGCATGCCTTCTGCCAGCCAGGTGGTCTCCGTGGGCCGTTCGGAGAATCAGGGCTCCGTGCTTAGCCCTTTGGCACATGCTGGTCGGGGTTTGAATCTGCGTCAGCGGAGATTAGTATATCTCCCCTTGGTATTTGCTTTTGATTTGTCATTGCCACTGGTGTTGCCAAATGGCACCTCTGCCTAACTGCTTTCAGATTAGTTTTCAAGGGAATAAAAGTGCTGAGAGTAGGAAGAAATATGGCGGACTCTCAAAATGGCCCTGAGCATCGGTGGTGTGGAGCACAGTGAGTGCCTAAAGTGAGTTAGGGTACAGAGTGGCCAGGGAGGCTGCCTGGCATGTGCCAAGGCCGACTGGAGAAGTGGCTGCTCAGTGGTTCCTCCAGGGAGGCCTTCCCGACCCCCGTCTTCCTTCCACGTTTCCCTCTCTCCCTGAGCTTTACCTGATATGACCTTCAGGATGTGAAACTGACTTTCTTCTCCAGCACCAAGAGCAACGCCTGGCATGTGGCTCACAGTCCTGTTGGTGGCATTTGCACTTTGGGGACAGTGAGTCTGCAGAGCTGCCCCAGCTCCTTGGTGCAGCACATATGGTCCTGTCCCTCTGGCTCGGGGAGCCCTGCTGTCCTTCTCCATTTCCCTTTATGTGATCACCCAGTGTGCAAACCAACTCTCATTCACGGGCATTTGCCAGGCCCAGACATGGTGCTAGGCCTGCTGGTAGCTCATTTCCACCACACAGTGGCCTAGGGAGTTGGGATGGCTTTATAGTGAATAGCATGGGCTCCGAGGTTGGTGACTGGTACCAAGCACATGGTGCTGTGATCAAGCACAGCTTTGTCTTGCACCAGAGTCTGAATCCTTAACCACCTCTGTCAACTACCCCCCTATCAGCCTCAGAGCCTGGGCACCGATCTTTCCTCTGCTGGGTGCGCCTTTCTCCTCTATCTCCTGGGTGACCTGCCGCTCAGTGTGGATATGGAAGATAGGAGACTGAGTGGAAGTCAGTGAGACACAGAGGGAGGGGGCAGAGGGAAGGTCAGAGAGGATGGTATGTATCTCGCAGGCCTCTTATGGCCTTAGGACAGTGGGAAGCACTGAAGGTTTTAAACAGCAGGGACAGTATCCGACCTTGTTTGGGAAAATTGCTCTGCCTGCTTGGCAGAGAATGAATCTGAGGGCACCTATTGCCTCTGTCTGTTCCCTGTGATTCTCTGTAGCTGTTGAAAATAAGGAATGAGGTCAGATGACACCTGTACTTGCCCTCAGAACCGAGTAGAAATTACAGCCAGCAGTAGTGGTGTAGCCTGTCTTTATTTTTGTGACAATAGGAGCTATTTGTGATCTCAGATTCCTCTTCCAAGGCTCACTCTGAGTTTTGAACTCATTTCTAGTTATTCCAGAATTTGGAAAGCGTTATTTGAGGACAGTGAAGTTCAGTACAGTTTTCTAAGATGAAAGCTGTTTATGTCAATGGGTGTATGTAGGGATATGTGGTATGAAAATTCAGAATCTCAGAGCTGAGCTTAGTAACAACGAGCACTGAAGGCAATGGCTGCTGGAAATGATTTCATCTTTGTGTCTGCAGTGCCATCGGTCCAGCCCATTCCCTAGCGGAATGAAAGCCCTCCCTGACGTGGTCAACCCACTTTTCCACCTGCAAACGAGAAGCAGGGTTTTGGCAGTTCGCCATAAACACCACGGGAGGCTGGGATATTCTGATGTTTTATGCATTTAGGGGAAATTGTTTTAATACACTGGCTCCCACTGAAAAGCAAAGTAAAAACAAAGCAGAAGCCTGCTTTGCATTGGAAGTGAAAGTGGCATTTATTTAAAGCTTGAATTTGGGGGGCATAGTAGCAGGTAGTCAGCATTAATAACGCCAATCGTGTGTTTCCTGCTAACAGGGAGATAACTGGATGCTCAGCCCGAGGAGGGTTATGCGGTTAGCGCGTGGAGAACCACACGGGCATTGTTAGTGATACTATATTTATTTGTGAAAAGCCCAAACAGGTCTTGTTCAGCTGCTTTTATACAGAAGGAAGAAGGCAGCGGAGAATATTAACGTTAGGTCTGTGCAGTGAAGAAGGCTGTGAGCAGGCTCAGCGGCTTGCTCTCCCTTGCTCATCGCACAGTCTTGCAGTGCCTTTTGTGCATTTCACAGGGATTTGATAGGGGGCGCCTGAGGGGCAGCAGGTGCCTTCCCAGAGAGGGGCTCCCAGAGCAAGTGTGGCCGCCCCAGGCTTACAGCCGGAGCCTCACACATTTCACGCTGGTTGCACGGTGGCTCCCTTTGGTTCCATGTGAAGAGTTTTAATTCTTTCTAAGAGTCTAAGTCAGGCGTCTTCAAACTACGGCCCGCGGGCCACATGCGGCCCCCAGAGGAGTCTGATCCGGCCCGCCAGGTTTTTTGGGCAGTGAGCGCAGCCGAGGTGTTACAGTAGGAATTAGTAGTTCATATAGTCCGGCCCTCCAGCTCTCTGAGGGACCGTGATCTGGCCCCCACTTTAAAAAGTTTGAGGACGCCTGGAAGTGGTAATTCTGCTGATTAATGAAAGAGTGAACATTATTAGCAAACTAAAAAGTAAGGAGGAATAGAAAGAATGCACTTTGACGAATGTTAATATTCTGATGTTTCCTTTTTTGCCTTTTATCCTTTATATATCAACCTATCAAAAAAAAAGGAGAGCTCCCTTTATTCCTCCTGAGGCATTAATACTCAGGTTAACAATCCCTTTTTTAAAAAAATACATTTTTATTGATTTCAGAGAGAAAGGGAGAGAGAGAGAGAAATTTCAGTGATGAGTGAGAATCATTGATCAGCTGCCTTCTGTACGCTCCCTACAGGCAATTGTGCCTGCAACCTGGCATGTTCTGTGACCGGGAATGGAACCATGACTTCCTGTTTCATAGGTCCACCCTTGAGCTATGCCAGTCAGGCAGCAAGCCTTTATTTTAAAGAGCTTATTCTAAAATTCCTTCTTAAGTCTGATATTACATTTTCTATGTTATATAAAGTACTTGTTGCAAATGGTTTGATATTTACTAGTATGCATTATTTAGAGTATCTATTGTAAGTGCCTTGACCATGTAGGATATCTTTGTGCTTTTTGTAAGTCACTGCTGGAAAGATCTGTTGTTCATTTTGTACATCAGTCATAGGTTATCTTATGGCTGTCCCCATTTAAAAAACATTTGGGATCAGCTAAGAGTATTGCATGAATGTGGAAAAATTTGAGTGCTCACAGCAGACCTGGTTGGGTTACCTCTGGGCATAGTGAATGGCAGGATGTGGCAAGTCGCCCAGTGGTCAGGAGCCCAGGCTCCAGAGTCAGCCCTTTATTAGCTATCTGACCTTGGCCCAGTGCCTTAAACTCAACACATTTCTCTTCCTAAGGCGGGAATAGCAATCCCCGCCCTGCAGAGCTGGTGTGAGGAAGAACATGCAGTGCATAGCATGCAATTTCCTGGCTTAGAAGCAGTGAGCAAAGGGTAGCTGAGCTGCCACATTGTGTCTGTCACCTGCACCTGCACCTACACCCTCTCCCTCACCCGCACCATCTCAATAAGGCTCTGGTTCTGTTTTCTTGGTTTTCAGAACCTAGGCCCCGATGGTCAGTTATTCTAATTGTGCCACTAGTGGGACATAACTCAGATTAGAAAGAAAACCTTGGCTAGAAAAGTGTTCATACTATCTAATAAAAGAGTAATATGCAAATTGACCATCACTCCAATACACAAGATGGCTGCTCCCATGTGGTCAAAGATGGCTGCCCCATGTGGACACAAGATGGCCACCACAAGATGGCCAGCAGGCAAAAGCAGTTGTGCGCAATCAGGCCAGAAGGGGAGGGCACTTGGGAGGGACCAGGCCTGCAAAGGAGGGCAGTTGGGGGCAACCAAGCCTGCAGGGGAGGGCAATTGGGGGCGACCAAGCCTGTAGGGGAGGGCAGTTGGGGGGGGGGGCAGGCCTGCAGGGGAGGACAGTTAGGGGTGACCAGGCTGGCAAGGAAGGAAAATTAGGGGCAATCAGGCTGGCAGGGGAGCAGTTAGGGTGTGATTAGGCTGGCAGGCAGAAGCAGTTAGGGGCAATCAGGCAGGCGGGCAGGCGGGCAGGCGAGTGGTTGAAAGCCAGCAGTCCTGGATTGTGAGAGGGATGCCACTGGGATCGGGCCTAAACTCAGGCAGTTGGGCATCCCTTGAAGTGTCCCAAATTGGAAAGGGTGCAGTCTGGGCTGAGGGACACACCCCCTGTGAACAAATTTTGTGCACTGAACCTCTAGTTAATAATAAAAGCCTAAGGTGCAAAAATGACTTGATACAACAGTGTTCTGATCATAAATTGTAGACTGTCAATTCCATGGTGTTTAAATCAACCAAGAAAATAAATGTGTTCACACACAGTTGGATTGTGTAGCCCATGGTCGGCAAACTGCGGGTTTGCTCTCTGTTGACTAATGAGTTTGCCAACCACTGGTGTAGCCCAGAGGTGACCAGTGTTACTCTCCAGCCCAAAGACCTCCTGATGCCTTGCTGACATATGTGGGCCCAGAGGAGCTGTGTGATTCCTGGGGAGGCCCTGCCCTCGGAGCCTCACTGTCTGGGCTTGTGTGTTCCAGGTGGCGGAGATGCACGGAGAGCTGATCGAGTTCAACGAGCGCCTGCACCGGGCCCTGGTGGCCAAGGAAGCCCTCGTGTCCCAGATGAGGCAGGAGCTCATCGACCTCCGGGGGCCGGTGAGTGACCTCAGATGCCCCAGCCACGCCACTCTGCCCCATCTCTGTCTGACCACCCCGCCCTTCCTGTCCACAGCCCCGCTGCTTAGTCTGTTCATTGTTAGCGACGTGAAGGGAAAGAGACTAAAGAGTGAGCTCTCACGTGCCCAACATCCAGCTTTTCTGTGCATTAACCTTTAACACTTGCTTTTTCTTTTTTTAGGTAAGATAAAGTAAATAAAATAAATGCTACAAATTCTGTTGAAGCCCCTTTGCAGTATATCATGCCCCTGCCCTTGATGTCAATGATCTGAGGCTGACATATAGCCTTTCCTTCCATATTTTTATACTTTACTACATAGATAAATTCCCATGAGCAATAAATAGTCTTGGTTTTGTGTAACTTTCACCTACATGCTATTACTTGTACATATCTCTTTTTGCCCCTTGTTTTTGTTTGTTTTTAATTCAGTACTATGGTCTGAGGAGTATATAGATCTGATATAGAGATTTTAAACTGTGCCTCTCTGGATTGTTTGGGCGGTGTGCTTTTTTGAAGGGGGTGAGGAGAGGGGTGTTCTGTGTATTGTGGGATGTTTAGCTGTATCCCCGATCCCTACCCACTAGAGGCCAGTAGCACCCCACCCCGACATGGCAACCAAAGATGTCTCCAGACATGGCCAGCTGTCCTCTGGGGGGCAGAGTCACCCTCGTTGAGAACTCCTGATCGGGTTCATTCACTTTCTTGACTCTAGTTCTCTGCTGAATGAAATACCACATTATTTTTAATCCAGTCTCATGTCCGCTGACATTGAGATTCTTGCCAGTACTTAGCTATTACAAACCATGCTGTTGAGAGCATTTTGTCCTTTCAAACCCATTTATAATAGTTTTTCATCTGGAAACTTTTTGTTAATGTCAAATGTTAAATGCCCAGAGGTAGGAGATTGGTATAATGCCTTTTACATATCCATTGTATGTACTCATTTATAATAAGTTGAATTATTATTAATCTGGCCAGTCTTTTTGAAGCTACCCATGCCTGCTTCCCCTTTCTGTATTATTTTGAATTAAATACTGGATATTTCACCTATAGACTTCTCTACTTTTCCCTCCCTTCCTCCCTCGGCCCCCCGCCCCCCAAATATAACCATGATATCACTTTTTCCTACGTTACCAATAATTCCCTTATTCCCTCAAATATCACGCTGGCTGGTGTACTCAGAGATTAGAGCACACCTTGCCCTCAGGCCCACTCTGCTCATCTTCCCCATCAGACAGCTGGGGCAGAAGGAAGGAAAAAAATTCAAGTTCCGTTACAGATCTGGAGCCTATCTTCCTTTTAATTGTGAGAGGCACTTGTCCTGGGAGTCTCAGCCTCTCCTCCCTCTGTTTCCACTTGGCCTGGCTCTCCGCAGACCCTGGATTAGACTCCCTCCCAGAACGACAGTGTTTGAGCGCCTCAAGGGCAGAACTGTGTCTCTTTATTTGGAAACCCCAGTTTCCTCTTTGATCAATGGGGAGTCACGTGGCTGCAGCCTCATTGGGCAGCTTGTTGAGATGCTGCCAATAAAACAACTCTGTGGTGGCCACGGGTCAGCCCCGCCCTGCTTTCATCTGTGAATCCCCAGTGCCTAGCACTGTGTGGGTGCTCACTTAATGTTTGCTAAGTGGAACTTTATCTCATAGAGCAGAAAAGGATGGTGTGGACCACATAATAGTCTTCCTTAAAGATGGGAAGAGGGAAAGTTCCTTCTCATAAACTTTTAAGCTAAAGAACTTATTTTCAAGGAGTTTGCGACTTCGGATTGAATTTTTTCCTTTTCTTTCTCTGAATATATTTTTAGAACTCTCGCCTCATTATTTTCTCTCTCCCTCCCGCCCCCTGTAAGATGTGAATGAGTGTGGAGTTTTTGTTTTTATGTTTTTTTGTTACCTTTTTAACAAGATTTGATTACAGCCCTGAAAATTCTCTGGGACAAGAGCTCCTATTTTGCATAATAAATGGAGACAGGGTAATAGAACCTGTAAGACATAGAAGTCAATTAAGGTCACAGCACAGGGAGAGTGGACAACTAAACAATTCCCAAATGGAGGTTGTTCTCATGGGGGGAGCAAAATATAATTGCAGTGCATTCCTGTTTTCTCTGGTGGGTCTCTGTTCCCACTACCTTCAAGTGGCTCACTCCACTTACTCGAAGAGATGGCCGATGTGGTCTGATCTGAGGTTTCTTTGATCGCTGCCCTGACTCAAAGCATCAGTCCATCAGTCACTGCTCTCCCCTCTCCCCTCCCATGCTTGTTTGGGGAGGGAACCACCTTTGTTAGCCACTTAACATGTGCTTGGGCTTGGATGCATTTTTATCCTCTCCTCCTCAGAATAACGCTGTGTTAGTTATTAGATCCATTTTTCAGCTGAGCAAACTGAGGTGCAGGTTGATTTCAAGACATGACTTGCCTACCCCAAGGCATGCAGCCTCCTGGTGGCACCAGAATGCTTTAACACCATGATGCTTAATCCCTCTCCCCCTTCCCCCCCTCAATTTCAAGGAAAACTTAGTGTCTATTTTGCTCTAGGCACGACACTCTGGGTGGTTTTAAAGATTCAGATCCCTCACGGAACAAGATTGAACATTCTGGATTGAATGGTGTTGAATAGGTTTCTCTGCTGTGGGACTTCCCCCCGAGAGTGCCTCATGGCTCTCTGAAGGGGTAGATACAGCATACATTGTATGTGTCATTCCCCACAATTACTTCCCCAAGGAGCATCATTCCTAAGATGCTCTCCAAGGTGTGCATGTGGGAAAGGTAGGGCTGTGTTGCGTATCATGTCAGTTCCCCATGCACCGGCTGGCAAGGAGGTCATGGAAGCCTGCTTTGTCTCAGGAGCCTGCCTGGTATGGGATCCGCAGGACTTGGAAGAGAGGGGGTGACATTGTGTGGCTGTGGGGTGCAGTGAGCATGCCCTCCCTCCACTGGAGGTGACAGGCTACCTTCAGTTGGGGTCCAGCTGGCCTGGGTCTCAGTCATGTTTGCAGCACCGCACCCCGGGCACTTGGGGCCTCTCAAAGGTCAGGTGCTTCTGCGTTTCTCCATTGTGCCCTGTTCTCCTTCTTGCTCTGTTTCTCTCTGTGTGTTATCTGCCTTTTAGTTTCTTCTATTGCCTCTGTGTGCTTTTCTCTTTCTAGTCCCCTCTCGCTACCTACCCCTCTCTCTGCTTTTCTTTCTTGGCCTGCCTCTGTCTGACTTCATTTCCGGCTCTGCCTCTCCCTTCCTGTGTGTGTGCTGGCCTCTGTCTGTTTCTCCCCTCTGCCTGAATCTTTCTCTGCACCTGTTTCACTGTCTTTTCCCTTCCCATTGTCTAGAGTTCCATAAACTTACATCACTCTGACAGGATGATAGCTGCTGTTCATTGCAGTGACTTGGAGAAACCACACATCCTTTCATTTCTTCATTGCCCAAGACTTTGCGTTTTGCACGCGGTCCTGTGATGGGGCTTTCAGTGGAATCCACTTCCACGAGCAAATGCTTTTACAGACCTCCCCTCCCAGCACCTGGCTGGCCCGCACCCGTGTTCCGTGCACTTTGCACCCCAGCATTTGTCGCTCTGTATAACCATGTTGTATTGAATTTCCTGTGGGCTGAGGACAGCTTCCCTGAGACAGCGACTGTGTTCACTCCCCTCCTCTCAGGCTGGCACACGGTCACATGCAGCTTTGATGTATGAGCCTGGCCAGCACCTGTAGAGACTGTGATGACACTGTTGGCCACACATTTGCTGACCCAGAAAGGTGCCTTCCTGGATCCTGCTGGAGAGGAGACTTGGCGTTTCCATGGGTCTCCTTCCCGCCACGGGTGAAATGATTGAGCTGGTGGGAGAAAAAGACAAATGATTAAAAATTCAGGAGTAAGCTTGGTGAAAAAACTCATCCCAATTCTGTGAGAAGGTTCATTTGGGAAAAAAAATGTTTCCTGGGACTTTCTTGGTATCTTTAAAACCTTCAGAGGTAGCTGATGCTGTTAAGTCGGGATGATAAGAGATTTAATAAGAGAAGTATTGTTCAGCTTGTGGACTATCTGGCGATCAAGTACCAAACTGGCTGTGGTCCCACCGCAGCTCAGCACCATGTTCCAAATAACCAGGTGGCTTTGTAACACGGCCCCTGACACTGTGTTCCGATTGCTTGCTGTCTTGGAGGAGATCATTTTCAAAAGTGTCATTAAAGAGCGGCTACTAAAACTATGTCTCACATAGAGGCTTAGCTCAGAAATTATCATTTTTGACACAAATCACCTGGAAAGGTTCTGGCAGAACGCATTTGGGCCCACCCAGGGTTTTCTATCCACAGGCAAATACCCCGCATGACCACATACCCCTGGACGGTAAAGCAGATACGTCCTGTACCTCGGAGGGCTCCTGGGTCACAGATCTTTCCTCCCACATGTGCTTGGGATGCACTCTCGTACCATTTATACCTGGCTTGCTTGTCACCATGGGTAGCTGGGCTCCACTGGGGAGCTCTGGGGGCTACAGTGTAGAGTTTGGGTGGGCAGAGCCTGGCTCCCCAAGGCTTATGGGTATGGGACTTTAAAATAATATTTCCATTAAAATGAGAGTTGTGTGCCTATTGGCGAGTGCAGCGTGTTCTAGCTGCTCACAGCCGGTCCCCCACATTGCTGCAAATAGGAAGCACTGGCAGGGGACAGAGTTATCAGGGTTTATACACTCTATGCTCCGTGCAGACCAGCTGTGGGGCGAGGGAGTAATTTCTGCATTGGCTTAGTCTGCCTGCTGGCCACTTGTGTTTCTTGTGGTGACAGATACAAAGTGTGGGATACTCAGTAGGGATGTGGCAGATGTGGAGAATGTGGACTCTACCCTTGACTAAATCAAAGACCAGAATAAACTTGGTGTGATTTGCGTTTCTTCGCTTTGATTGCATGTGACTAGGCTTGGAGACTGAGGTCTGGAAAAGATACCCCTGAGACCTATCCTGTCACAGATTCTGAAGAAGCAGAGG